CAGTAGCCGAAAAAGGAAGGGATATCCGTCCTGATACAGGGCACATTGCAGTCAGTTGCTGTTGCTACAGCCTGAGTTGCCTACCTAGAAGTTCTTTTTCCCATGGAGGAAATGTGGATATGGGTAACAATCTTCTGCAGCCAAAATTCTTATCACTTCCTTTAATGACTAAATAAGAGTAGATCAGATCAATTTGTATAGCTTTTAATGTCTCTCAGTTGGTGGAGGTTCATCCCACTTTCATCCATGTGGACAGGCCCATGCCAAACCTCCATCCTGTTTCTGAAATATCCCTATCTACAAAACCTGGGCAGCTCTTTGGATTATCCATCTGCAATTGCTGAGCATTTGATTTTGATTTTGAAATTTTGGGGAGGAAAGTTAGTGTTTTCCTAGCATTATGTACAGAACAGCCTTTTCTTTTACTTGCTAGATTTGCTGTCTTAATATTTTCTATAAAGAGGATATGTCCTAAAATACAATAAGGCTTAGTGATAATGCCATTATTACAGAAGGTTTAGCGTGGGCTTTCTGAAATGCTCCTTATGAATGCAATTCAAGTGTTTATGAAAATACTAGCATGAGCCATGGTTCAAGCAATTAATGAAATCAGCAAGGCAAATCTAGTCTTTTCAAGCTATGATGGTACTTATCTGGATTCAAACAATACTTTTTTGTTAGCTGTTTAATATATATTTGATTTTTGTGGCTAATGCTATGCTTTCATCCTGTTTTTAAGCATGCAGAAGAGAGGTTTTTTTATATCTTGTTCACTATATTGGAGGTACATTTTAAGTTTGAGATAGGAGAAGATACAGTTTTGCTTGTAAAAATGCTGCTAGTCAGAATCAGTTGGAAATTTATTTTTTTTTATAACATCAAGTTATATGTTCTAATTAAGCTATGAATTTCAAATAATTTAAATGGTGTTCTGACAATTGAGTAAAAAAAAAAAAAAAAAGAAAACTGAGGAAAAAAAATCACAGATAAATTACACTCAAGATAGAGATGGGAAATGTTATTTTTTACAGATACAGGTTATATTTTACAGATTTACATGTTTGGAAACTCTAGTACTATGTATTTATGTACTATATCTATATATATAGATATATTTTAGTACTTTCCGTTGACAGTAATTAATGCTTTGTTGTTGGACATCCTTCCAAAGAATTAGCATCCCCAATTACGATGACCTCAACTGTGTACCTAAGCTAACTCTTATGAAGTCTAAACATAGAAGCTGAGCATTTAGGTGCATTCTGTTTTGGGTAAAGGAAGAAAAAATATTTAGAGTAAGCAATCGTTCTGTTTTATAAAAGGATGATTCTAAAATCTGTCTCAGAATCTGCAGAGTATCTTAGTGTATTGTAAGTGCAGCACTGGTGACTTGATACTGAGAGCGACCCCTCTGATATTTGATGCTATTGAAGAATTGCAAATATTTTATGTTTGCATTCATATGTACTATCAGTGAACCTGGGAGTGACCAGAAGTTCTTTCTCACTAACTTAACTCCGAGTTGCTTGCAAAGACAGTACCCACACAAAGATAATTTTTATCTGGAAGGATACATAGTCAAAAAGAAAAAAAAAGAATAGGTGGAAGCAAATGCTGTATGTTTAATTTCGCCTTAAATTTCTCTGTTGTTTTATTTCATGGAAATACCTGTTGAAACAGTGAAAGGCAATATTTTATGTCACAAGGGAGGCATTGCTTTTGTTCTAAGTTTGTTGAAGGAGAGTTGTAAAGAGCTGTGAGGGTTCTGGAGCACAAATCTTACAGGGAGAGGCTGAGGGAAGTGGGGTTATTCAGTCTGCAGAAGAGAAGGATCAGGAGAGACCTTATCACTCTCTACAGCTGCCTGAAAGGAGGCTGTGGCGCGGAGGGGGGTCAGCCTCTTTTTGCAGATAACATCCACAGGACAAGAGGAAGTTGCACCAAGGAGGTTCAGATTGGGAAAATATCTTCTCAGGAGGAGTGATGAGGTATTGGAACAGTTTGCCCAGTGAGATGATAGAATCTTTATCCCCGAAGGTTTTCAAGAAATGAATATGACATGGCACTGAGGGAAATGGTTAGTGGGCCTGGGTGGAGATGGGTCAGTGGTTGGACTCCTTGATCTTAGTATTTTATTCCAGCCTTAGATCATAGGATCTTTAGAGCTGTCGTATGCTGATTTCACTTGCACGTTTTTAAATTGGAAAAAACGTTGTCCTTCATTGCCAAAGGCTACCCTAGGAATAGTGCAGTGTTTTAAATGGCAAAGTACCAACAGGGTTTGATTTTCTGTAGCTTTATGCGCAAAACTTCTTGTTATGGAATGTTCCTTTCAGTGTCATTTAAGTTCCTGATACTGAAGAAACAACGCTAAGGCCGTTTGTGTGCCAGTTTGTATTATTATGATGCACCAGTGCTGCAAACTGTTAGCGCACAAAGTTGCTTCTTAAAACTGAAAGCTGGATTAATTTTACTTGCTGTAATGATTTTAATGCTTATATTTTTAAATTTGCTGATGAAATTTGTTCTTCAAATGATTACTCTTTTAAAATAAAAAGTAGTTGATATGTATGGCAGTGTTTTAGCTGCATATAAAGTATAAATTTTTTTTTAATTTTACCCTGATATCTTTTATTAAAATTCACCAATGAAATGTAAGTCTTCAATTTGAATAAAGTTGGATTTTTTTTAAAGGAAGCTGACATGTGCATGCTGATGAGAGCTTACTGAATGCAGATTTTCTGTTGTTTTTGTTGTTGGTTTTTTTTTTTTTAGTAAGAAGATCTGAAAAATGGTTCTTTACTGAAATGAAAATTCTCCCACATGCAAGTTATTTAAAAAAAATAAAAATTTACAGCTGTGAAACTGAGGAAGGAGTCAGACAAAAGTGTTTTCAACTTGCAGAACATTTGAAATTGATATAGGTAGAAATTGGGCTTTGGGATTGCTGAAATACCAAGCCCTGGATTTGGCCCAGGATATGAGGATGTGAGCATCTCAGCAAAATCAGGAGTTGGGTTTGAGTTTTTTAGACACTGCTGCTTCCATGTCTTGGTGGCTTCATGACACTCAACTCTTTCCCTTTAGTAGAGGCAGGATTTGGGGAAATATGAGTTGGATTCACCAGGAATTTGGATCGTTGGTGTTTCAGAAAAATAAACAGAGGCTTGGTAGTTAACATTTCTCTAAACAAGCAACTTCGGTCTGTCCCTTTGTGTTGAAAGATTTCTGATAGATCAGATTTGACTGCTTGCACAACTTTTATCACTGAGATGGGGTATGTAGTCTTTGGTTGTGTTCTTAAGAGAATATTTCTCTACAGAAAGGGGTATTCATGACTTGTCTTATTTGCTCTAGTTCTACAGTGAGGTTGAAGACAGTGAAGTGTTACACTCATTTTTGTACTGTAGGTTGTGGGCACTTTAGCATTATCAAACAGGCTCAAGTGGGATTGCATGTTATTATACAGTGCCCCAGTGTTCCCAGATAGGAGGAAGGAAAGCTGCTTTTTAGTGCTGGTTACTGTTCCCTTCCTTTGGGCTGGAGGAACAGCAAGCTTAATGTGTGTATTAATGTTTCCCTTGTGCTTCCAGTCTTTTTTACTTTTCCCTCCTCCTGCATTTCAAATCCTCAGTGCCAGGAGCTGTCTAATTTTTGTCAGAAGTTGTGCAATCTACAGTTGAGACATCCTGGCACTATGTGGTGTTAATGATAAATATGTACTATTAGTTGCTTACTCATGGTGCATCAGTGCCTGGTTGCATACTGCTCAGTGTTGAATCCCCTCTGAGTAATTCAGAAAAATGAAGTTAGGAAACATTGATAGTACGGTGAATATGTGATTTGAACTTTTCCTGAGCAGGGACAAAACAGTGTTAAGCAGCAGATAAGAGCGGTGGGTTTGTGTGTGCTTTTTGTTGCTTTCTTTTGTGGAGTTTGGAATGTGCTGAGTTGTCAAGTTGTCTTGCACGTTCCAGCAGTAACTCTTTGCTATCGGATCTCTCCTGCCTCATACTTGTAGTTTTCTTCCTGCATGCTAATAACTCTCGAATAGGAGTTCACCAATTACAGTGATTTTAGCAAATCTTCACAAGTAAGAGGTCAATTAAAATGAAATTTTCTGAAATTATCAACAACAATTGAATTAATAGAACTGTCTTGCTACTTAAAACTCATTGCTTGTTGTCATCTTGATTCTTCCTCCCTTGACCTCACAGTGTGTTTCAAGCTCTACTAAAATGCTTTGGAAATCTAAGGAGAACTTAATCCCGGATGCTCATGAAGATCGGTTTCTTTTCTAGTTTTTCAGCAGCCATCCCCTAAAGAGCGAACTGGCTGATTTTTGTTCTTGTTTTTGTTAAATTCTGTGTTTGTTAACATTCTTGCTTATTTGTAACTTCAGAAGGACACAAGATCAGCCTGAGTTATCCACATTCCTGGATCTTATCTGTATCTTCTGGAGTGCTTCTGCAAAATGAACTGTATCTCCTCCTCCTCTTTGCTCATCTGCAGTAAACAAATCAGTTGAAATCTCTACATTTCTGCCTGTACTCACTCCAGTTTCTTGTCTATTTCCTATTTTCAAAGTAATTGCCTAAGTTGACATTCAACTTCCCAAAGAAAGCATTTGACACCAATATATAGAGGTGAAGCACCTTTTTTTTAAATATGCAGAACAGCCTTAAGTTCATGTTTCTGGAGACAAGTGAGTGGTGATTTCTGACTGATAGGTTTATCTTCAGGTGTAATGAGTATCTGTCAACCTGTGTACCTCAGGAAAACGTGCTAGCTGACTGTGTAGGTGTAACAGTTCCTTAGGGAGAGGTGTGCTTGTCTCAATAATGTGGCCTACATCTTTAGAGTAACAATGTTTTCTAAAATATAAAATGTGTAATATTTGGAAGATGCATTTTTATGCAGTGTGTTTTCATAACTCATACAGAATGCTAAAACACAGTTTTTATTTTGAATAAAACCTTTTTTCCCCCCTCTTACCACAGGATAATGAGAAAAGGACCCCTTTACATGCTGCTGCCTATCTGGGAGATGCAGAAATTATTGAACTGCTTATTTTATCTGGTATGTTCTGTTCCTGTTAATGGAAAAAAAAATTACCTCTATGCACATTCAAAAAATTATTTATGCACATCTTAGTTTGTGTAGCTTTTACTGAGGTATTTAATGTACTAAAATCTGAAGAAGCTTATACTGAAAGTTTGGGTTTTTCGCTTATCAGTGTTACAATACTGTGTAGTTCTGCTCTAAAATGCTTTTGGTAGAAAGCTTTTTCAGTTATATTTCTTTTTATTTGTAGCTCGATCAGCTTTAGATACTCCACTTTAAAGAAGTAATAATGTTTGTGTTACATGTAGATGTTTGCAGCATTGCTTTGGTCTTAAATTGGCCTTCAGAAAAAAAAAGTGAATGTAGAAAACAGAATCTGAAATTGGTGATATATTGTTTTTAATTATCTTTTGCTATTGCTTACATGCAGAGGATATAAATCGGTTTGGCCGGAAATTTTAAAACTGCTTTTCTCATTTTCTATTTATTTTCACTAAAACAGTGCACAAGTTTTGTAAGAGTGCATTTTAAGCTTAAAAAGGAAGAGAAACAAACTGAAAAAGAACTTAAAAACACAGTTTGACTGAGCTACTGAATTGATTGTCTTTAATCTTGGACAGACTTACCCATCAGGTAGCTAAGTTCATGATGCTCTAAGGTTAGATGTAAAGATGAAAGCTTGTCCCGCAGAACTTCTTAGGTGCTCAGTCTGCTTAATGGCAAACACTACCCATGCACAGTTGGCTATTTTTCCTTCCCCCCATTGCAACCTGTAATAGCAAATTTTACTTTAAGTAAGTGTCACTGTAAGTATATAGGAGTTACCTCCAGATTTTCAATTGAAATTGCCAGGTATGACTTAATTTATTTATAATTTAGCAAAATGTAATATTTCCACTATATATTACATGTAATTATATACATTATTATAATTAATGTGGCATTTTGTAGAACTATATACTTCTTAGGGAAATATGTCATAGTTTAAAATTTTTTGATCATGTAAGAAAAATTTTTCCAGAAAAGTTCAACTGTGTTGCTGACAAGATGGGTCAGAAAAGCATGCTGTTCATCCCTGTCAAGTGAAAAACAAGTTCTTTTGACTCTTGAGAATATGCAATGACCTCTCTGTTCTAAGAGGATATTGTGAATTTGGCAAGGATATTTCTTTTTTGTTGAGGTTTTCACAGTGATATAAAAATAATTAGCCATGTTACAAATTTTGTGAAGTTGTAGTCAACTGCTTCTGGGAGTGAAGCTTCTGATCTGTGTGGGTCCAGTCACCAGAACTGGGGCTGAAGAAAATCTATCACTCCTCCTCTCAGGCTAGTGATAGAGCAGACGTTTTTATTTGGATATTAATGTAAGAAGACTCTGATTGGGCAATAATAATTGGAGAAGAAAGGTTAGTCATGCTATTTGGGCATGCAGCCTGGGAGTAAGTGGATGAAAAATTGAAGAACAAAGAGGGGAAGCGGAGAACTAAAAATTAGCACTGCATACATAGTACAGAATTGAATTGTTGCACAGAGGAAAGGATGTGGGCTGCTGCTGTGCATATAGAGATTGTTCAGGAGGACTGGGAGGCATTGATACTCAGATAAATGCTAATTAATGAAAATGATAATTTGCTTACATAAAACAATTAAAATAGTATCAAGAGCTTTGAATGCTGTGGACTGTTGAGGCAGTATTGGTCTAACCTGCATGTGCTCTCGCATTGTGCTGTGGATGTGAATGATGTGATTGAGTCTTCTGCAGTAGTGCTTCACATTCCCAAAGGAGGGGTGATCTGGGAGTGAACTGGGGGTTTACAGTGAAGGAGGCACAGCTGCAGTGTTGCTGCATTTGTGAGAGAGTGATGAGGATCCATTCAGTGGGTGAGAAAGTGATATCTTCATGTTAAGACTGTTTGGTTTGACAGGCTGTGCTGTACTTGGGCACTGATCTGTAATATTTCCTACTTATAGTCAGGAATCTTTGGCAAACAGCTGAAATGAGACTCTTTAAAAAGAAGTCACTAATTTAGTGTTCATTTCTGAATGCTGGGTTTGACGTCTTGTCATCTGTGTAGTGAGAGTGCTTGCAGCTGTATCTGAAGCACTGCACCAGTACTTCTCCGAGAGATTGGGTCTAGGTTTTTGTCCAACTTCCATCTTGTAATTGGAATTTAATTGGAACCACTTAACAGATCATAAGTGTATTTATTTTCTCAATTTCATAAAGATACAGAAAATTCATCTATTGTGGTTCAGCTGGAGATCAAATCTCTCCTTGGAGACGGATTTAGGTTACATTTTATTATAAAATGTGAGCACTGGGGAGCAAATAAAGGACATCTGTTACTACAGTAAAGTTTGAAGGAAATTTGTCATGTTGCAACCATTTTTTGAACAGTGAGAAAGCAGTTAACTAACATATTTGACTAGAAATCTTCTGCGTTCAGTAAATTTGCATGTAAAAATGGTGTGCCTTATAATTGACCAATGTAATATGTTCTCATGGAGAACTGAAACAAGTATTGTAGGCTATTTTCATCCTGACATTTCTCATCACGTGGAAGGTTGACTTTGTAACTTGTAATGTCTTCTAACGCAGTTGTGCTGGTATGTTCTTAAGAACCACTCTGAAGTTTTCCTGCTAAGCCAGCAATCCTCTGGGAACTGTTTGCCTTGAGTTTTTTATTATTCCTTTGAAATGGACATCCAAATTACTGAAGTCAGTTGCTGAACCACTTCTACTCAGTGGTTCTTTTCTGATTCTTTCTCATCATTCTCTACTCTTTGCTAAAGCATGTATCGTCTGTTACACAGACATACTTTCAAAAATTTCACTGGAACTTCTTTTACGTCCCTTCAGAGATGGATTTTGGGTCATAAATTGCTGTTACTTTATACTGCTTTACTGTAGATGTGAGCAACCCTTACTTCATATTCTGAAGATAAAACTAATTCTGTCTTTTTACAGAGTTCTGTGGAGTAAGTTTTCAGTCTTATAAGCATGATCATTTTGGCTTTGAGATCTTGAATGAATCATTTTTTCACCAGCATTTGGGGTTGATCTGTGATGTGCCCCTGTTGTTTTTCACCTGGGAAAGGATTCTGAAGGGTTTTCCTAGCAGATCATGATAGCATGATAGTGTTCTGCAGAAATCTGGATGTTCAGGTCATCTCTCCTCCAGATTGTAGCTAACTGTGCAGTTAGTGTTACTAAGTTTGTTAGGTAGGAAGGTGAACAGTAAATATCTGAGGCATAAAGGCGCTTGTTTATAGTCTACAGAATGATGGAACAAAAGATCGTTTTTCACTAATAATTTTAGAAACATTTTATTTTCTATTACTCTGTGAAGAGTTATAACACCAATCAAAGTTCTGTTATTACAGTATATGTGCAACTCAGCATCCTGGTACTGTTTACTTTTTGTAAGTGTACTGAATTTAATTATATAAATACTTGATGACAGACTATGAGAAGTAGAAAAGCAGCATAACTTAGACACTGTTTAACTGAATGTCAGGAACTGGTTTTTATCAGCTAAGTCCTTATAAAGACTCAAGCCCTCCTTTCAGCTAAGTCCTGCAAGTGGACTGTAATGCTGAGGCTCCTCCTGTTTTAAAAATACAATTTTTTCCATTTGTCCTACTTTATTTTTTTTTAACACAGTCAGAGTTGTCGCTTCAGCCAAGTGAGAGGAGCAGGACAAACTTCTGATCTTCCATTATGTTTTCTCAACTAGTAACTTTCTTCGAGTTTGCTTCTTCGTGCCATGTAAACTATTAGAGCTTTCACGGAAGTCTTCACACTTCATGAGGAGAAACATGAGTTACAGTGTTTACTTTTGAGTAGGTTTAGTTACTGTTATTGCATTGACACTTAAATACTAGCATGAGGCATTTCTGTTTGCTTAACGCAATGTTTTCACTGCACAGAGCTCAGCAGACATGAATGTGCAATCAGGCTTAGTCTCATTAAGATTTGGCAGCTTACAAGTATTTGTTGTGCTTTTTCTTGGGTCAGCTGTAAAATGGAAGAATCTGAAGCTGGGAAATAGTTGTTACAATAACGATATTCTGGAAGATGATAAAGACCTTCTGACACTGTTCCACTCCAGCTGTGTTTCTTTCATCTAATTCTTAAGCCATGCAAATATTAACAATCCATGCAGTAGCAATCCAGTTTGAAAGACTGTTACTGCAAACGTATCAGTGGAACGAAGCTTCCTCAGTTTCAGTTGCAAATGTACCCACATGCTAGGGTGTGTGGTTTCATAGGGGTTCTTTTTACACTGTCTCTATCTTCTGGCTGCTTCCTCTTCTTTCAACAATGTGAGCCACAATTTTAATTTCAGACCTAGCTTCACTGCCCTCAGCCGTGGTTGCTGTAGAACGTTGCTAAAAGAAGCAGCTCTAACTTCTTTTTGAGAGTTGAAATGAAGCTTAGGAAAAAGTATCATAGAATGGCCTGGGTTGAAAAAGACCGTAATGATCATTTAGTTTCAACACCTCTTCTATGTTTAGGGTCACCAACCACCAGACCAGGCTGCCCAGAGCCACATCCATATCCAAATACAACCTGGCCTTGAATGCCTCCAGGGATGGGCAAACCTCCCTGGGCAACCTGTCCCAGTGTGTCACAACGCTCTGGGTGAAAAACTTACTCCCAGTATCTAACCTAAACCTTCCCTGTCTTAGTTTAAAAACATTCCTCCTTGTCCTATCACTATCCATCCTCGTGAACAGCCATTCCCCCTCCTGTTTATGCACTTCCTTCAAGTATTGGAAGGCCACAATGAGGTCTCCCCAGAGCCTTCTCTTCTCCAATCTAAACAAGTCCAGTTCCCTCAGCCTTTCTTCATAGCAGAGGTGCTCCAGCCCTCTGATCATCTTAGTGGCCCTCCTCTGGACCCGCTCCAAGGGCTCTGCATCTTTCTTGTGCTGGGGACCCCAGGCCTGGGCACAGTACTGCAGATGGGGCCTCACAAGAGCCAAGTAGAGGGGGACAATCACCTCCTCTCT